GGAATTTAAAACTGGTTAGTGTCTTCTGCTAGTAATCAAAGCATTAAAAAACTTTCTGAACTGATAAATAACAGATTGGAGATTAAAATAATATCAGATTTGTCTCATTTTAAATAAATAATAAAAACTGAGATAAAAAATTTACTTAAGCCAGAATTTAAATGTTATTATGGTAAAATAAATATTCAAACCATGTGTGTTACAACTAACACCCCGTTACATTGTGCGCCGCACTCATCGCAAGTTTATTGTTAAATGCCCTTACATATCTCTGTCACCATTATAAGTGTTTGATCACCACATTTGAGTGATCATTGCAAAAAATGTGTTTATGTATATATATTCTGTTTATGTATAAACTGTATTCTATATATATATATAGTACCAGTCAAATGTTTGGACACGAATGGGAAAATGTCCAAACTTTTGACTGGTACTGTACTATAATATACACAAAGAATGTCGGCCGATATATCGGTATCGGCCTTTTTTTACTCCCTAATATCGGTATCGGCCCCAAAAAACCCATATCGGTCGGGCTCTAGTAATTGCTAATAAATAATTAAAACTAATTGTAAATTAATTGTAGAGCTAAAAAAAAAAACTTTTTCTTTATTTTAATTTTTTACTTTTTTTTTTTTTTTGCCCTGGCAGTATTGTCACTTGCCCTCAGGATGTCTCAAGTGACAGAAGCGACGTGTATTTTTAATTAACATTAATATTTAGGCAAATTAAAAGGGATTTTGTTCTCCAGGCCCTTCAGCTATTTATACAAAGGAAGCTGCATCTGAACTGAATGGAGAATCAAAGTATCCAAAATGAAATTGTTAAATCAATTTTAAAAAATGGCATTTCCACCAGGATCCAGATCGCAGAAAACACTATATCATACCTAAATATTTTACTTTTGCTGGTTATGGCAAAAGCAACATTTATTTTTCAAACAAAATCTAAAATGTCCTTACTGTTGAACACCACTTATTTTAATTGGTGAGGTTGTCATGGCAGTCATAGCTTAACTGGTGCACTTGGTATAGTGACACATACTAATGTTCTTCTCACTCTGTGTTTGTATGGAACAATACAGCAGTTACAGCAGCTGCAACAGCAGCAGAACCTCAACCTGCAGCAGTTTGTGCTGGTCCAGCCGGGCCACCCCATCGCAACACAGCTGCAGCCCACGCAGTTCATCATCTCGCAGACACCACATGGCCAGCACAGTGAGTCCCATGTCATCTTAACCTTCTCGGATCTCTCCATCCCTCCATGTGATCAGCCTATCTGATTGTTTTGTCTTTCCTCTTACTCTAACTAGGTCTCCTGCAGGCCCAGAACCTTCTAACTCAACTACCTCAAAGCCAAGCCAACCTCCTGCAGACCCAACCAAGCATCACACTTGCCACACAGGTCAGGGGCATCCCATTCAATAATTAATCACACATTTTTTTTCTGAAATTAATTGCGAATAATCCCACCTAGCATTAAAGTTTTTAAATATGCTTTTATGTTGCAATAATTTCACATGCAATCTTCAAATTAATGTAGAAACAACATAAAGACAGTATATTTTTAATATTTGTTTAATGGCAGCTTTTTATGACTGAAGGAGAGTATCACTGATACCAATACTGCTGATGTCTATGAATTTTTTTTTCCATCACAGCAGCTGGGTTGTTAGGTTATTTTGGCTGCTTTAAGAGCTGCAGCTGCTGAACATGACATGGATCTGACGCATCGTATTTTCTCACAACTCTTTACCTTTTCTGACTCAGTTTAGGTCTTAAAGTCTCTACTAATGAGCTGACAAGTTGAATTGGTTGTGTTAGATGAGGGAGACAGTAGGGCTGCACGATTGACAAATCATAATTGTTGATTATTCCCTTGAAATTGTAATTGCGATTATTAATTACGATTACTACAATATACATTGAATGATCTTTATACCATTGTTTAGTGCAACTGCATGCTGTATTGATAAAAAAGCTGAAAACACTCTAACTGAAAAACTTTGTGCTTTTCTATAGTATTAAGTCTCAAATGTCAACTATACATCGGATTGGTTTCTTTAAATTATAAAAAAGTACAAATATGAATTGTATTATAATGTTATACTAAAATTAAAATAATGGGAAAACCCCTTAAGATAACATGCAGAAAAGAAAAAAAAAGCATCATAAGCACACAGAATAACATAAGTGGACTTTGAACGATTAATTGCCGCTTTGAACGAGTACAAAATTGTGGCATCCATAATTGTAATCGCGATTAGAAGTTTGATTAATTGTGCAGCCCTAGGAGACAGTGCTGGGCTGCTCCAGGACAGTTTTGAAAATCACTGCATTTCAGAGACATGTTCTTAAATGTGACTCATATATAACAAATACTTACATACACAGTTTTAAGGCAGCTTTGATCGCCTTTTTGTTAACTTGATGACTTTACTGATGACATAACTATGACATTGCATGCTTGTTGGTTCCTTCGCGCTTTAATATGAAATGATACAGGCTACAGCGTGCGCCGCCACATTTGTCCATGCAATTGAAGAGTATGTGCTACGAGCACAGTGTAACGGCTGACAGGACAGGAAAATTCGGTTTTACTGACGTTACGGCCTGACAACATCTCATCTGACCACAGTTCACTGTTGTTCCTCTGAAGCTCCCTCATCACCTGCACCTTTTCCGTGCTCGTTTGACTAGCGCTTGGCTCTGAGGCGAAGTCGGAGTGCTGAAAAGTCTCCAGTTTGATGTGGTCGTAAAGATGCGTCAAAATAAATGAAATTCTTGTCAAGAAAAAAAAAAAGACAGACGCAGCCGTTGTAAGTGGGGTGGCCAACCCTAGCTCCGCCCCTGCATTAATTGTGTTAAGTATTTTTAAGTCTTTATAGATTGCAAACAGCGCTGACTACAGTTTCTTGTTGTTTTTGTGATTTAAGAAGTTAAAACCACTATTTATTCCAAGTACACTACCGTTCAAAAGTTTGGAGTCGGTATGTTTTTTTTTTTCCTGTTTTTGAAAGATTTTCTTTTATGCTCACCAAGGCTGCATTTAGTTACTCAAAAATACACTAAGACAGTTAAAATAACTGTTTTTCTATTTTTACATTTTATAGGGGTCATGTGATGCAATTTCAAATTTTCCTTTCTCTTTGGAGTGTTACAAGCTCTTGGTGCATAAAGAAGATCTGTAAAGTTGCAAAGACTAAAGTCTCAAATCCAAAGAGATATTCTTTATAAAAGTTAAGAGTCAGCCACGCCTACCTAAAACGGCTCGTTCTAACACGCCCCCACATGTCTACGTCACTATGTGGAAATATTAGCATAATGCCGCCCAAATGTGCACGCAAAGAAAGAAGGCGTGGTTTCAGGAACAGCAGTAGTGTTGATGCAGCCATGCCAGGGAGTGTATTTCAGTGCGAAAGCAAAAGCACTTTATTTGGCCTTCCGGAAGTAGATGCAATTAGGAATATTTGGTTAAGATTTATTTACAACAGAACAGCACAACCCAGATGTTCGAATTTGTGCAACGCATTTAATGGACGACAGTTTTTTTTTTGTTTTTTTTTAAACTAGAAGAGTACAAGGCTGGCTGTGCACAAAGGCTATTTAAAAAAAAAAATAAATAAATAAAAAAAGGGTCAATTCCAACTTTGCTATGACAATCTGGCGCTTCTGAATCAGCGACTGTAAGTATGTTTTGTTATCAGTTTATTTGCTATTGACTGTTCAAATGCGGAGTTTTTTGCAGCGCAGAGTAACGCGTTGTGTGTGTGTGTGTGTGTGTGAGGGGAACAGGGTCACATCACAGGAGAGTGAACTGCCTGTCAGAAATCATAGCACGTCAGCTGTCTTAACCGCGGCTTGTGTACTGCATCATCACTGTGTCTGTCACGCGACTCTGTTGCCCTTTCAGGCTTGAACTGATGGTAAAACTAACGACATTATTAACTGTCTTGATATTTACTTTGAAAGCTGACACTCGCGATTATGGGAAGGGGCGTTACATTTCCGATGCGTGCTTGTGGTGTTCGGCCAATCACAATGCATTGGGTGAGCTGGCCAATCAGAGCAGACTGCGCTTGTCAAAGGAGGGGGCTTTGTTGAAAACGATGTGTTTGAGAGAGGCGGGACATAGAGGACCTACAATAATGTACAGTATTTGAAAAATAATGTGTTTTTTGAACATTAAAGCATGTCAACATATTCTGTTACACCAAATACACAAAATAATGATCTTTAAAATAGCATCATATGACCCCTTTAAAATAAAATGTATTCCTGTGATGGCAAAACTCAATTTTCAGCAGTCTTAAGATCCTTAAAGGGGTCATATGATGCGATTTCAATTTTTCCTTTCTCTATGTGGGAAGATTTGCATAACGCCACCCAAATGTTCACGCAAAGAAAGAATGCGTAACTTTTATTCTCGCTGTAGTATTGTTGACGCTGCAGCCATGTCGTGAAGATGCTGTGTGCTTCGTTGTGAAAGCGAAACTACTTTGTTTGGTCTTCCAAAAGAGGACGATATCCGCTTCATCATGCCTAGAGCTGATCTGCGCTGGTCGCTGAGGGAATTCATCAACTTTCACCGTGGACGAAGCGGAATCCAACCCGGGGTCTGTCACATGTGGTTGCCGATCATTCGTCGGATCCGCCGGGCTCACTCTAGCCCGGCCTCAGCTCACGCTAAGCTGGGGCTTCTGCTCACGCTAGCCCGGCCTCAGCTCACTCTATCCCGGCCTCAGCGCACGCTTAGCCGGGGCTTCCCCTCACGCTAGGCCACTGTGTTTTTCGTTGTGAAAGCGAAACTACTTTGTCTGGTCTTCCAAAAGAGGACACGACTACAAATCAGTGGTTAAGTTGTATTTACAACACTGTTCCAGAACAGTTTAACCCAAATATCCAGATGTGTGCAGCACATTTTATGGAGGACTGTTTACTGATCCTGGGAGAGTAACGTTAGACTAAAATGCCGGCAGTTCTGACTCACGTAAGTACGTTTTCATTTAAAGGATTTACCACTGATGATTCAAACGCGAGTTTTGGGCAGTGTAGAGTAGCACTTGTTGTTTGTCATTTCTCTGATCACAAATGCAGACAGAGTTTTATCTTTACGCGGCACGATGCAATGCAATGCAACACGTAAAAAGACAGTATAAGTCATTATATTCAGTAATTATGTCCCCATTGGATGCAACAAATGCCTCGTTTGTAATGGGTTTTAATGTTTTTGTCTCGTCGCTCCGGCCGGACACGGCATTAACAGTATGTGAGGGGCGTAACATTTCCGTCTCACGCTTGAGGTATTCGGCCAATCACAACGCATTGGATAGCTGGCCAATCACAGCACACCTCGCTTTTTCAGACCGATGAGCTTTGTAAAAATCGGCGCGTTTCAAAATGGTAGGGCATAGAGGAGAAACAATATTGTACAGTATGTGGAAAATAATGTGTTTGTTTTTTTACTTTAAACCGCATAAACACATTTCATTACACCAAATACACAAAATAATGTTCTTTTTAGCAGCATCATATGACCCCTTTAAGGAATCTTTCTAATATTTTGATTTGGTGCTGAAGAAACATTTCTTCATAATGTCAATGTGAAAAATAGTTGTGCTGATGAATATGTTTGTGCACACCATGATACATTCCTCGGGATTCTTTGACGAATAGAAAGTTCAAAGGAACAGCATTTATTTAAAATACTTTTGTAGCATTATAAATGTTGTTCTGTCACTTCTGATATATTTAATGCATCCTTGCTGAATAAAAGTATTATTCTTTAAAAAAATTTTACTGATGCCAAACTTTTAAATGGTAGCATATATGCGCAAAAAAAGTGAAAAAATGTTCATACTACATTTTCAGTTGGACAGTTCCAGTTTTCACATTTGTTTCTTTAAAAAAAAAAAAGAAATCTTTCAGCCATTCTTGTTTATCTCCATAATTTTCTCCTTACACTTCACAGCCTGCTACACCCACACGCACGATAGCAGCGACCCCCATCCAATCCCTTCCTCACAGCCAGACGACACCAAAGCACATCGACACACCCAGCCTGGAGGAGCCCAGCGACCTGGAGGAGCTAGAGCAGTTTGCCAAGACCTTCAAACAGAGACGTATCAAACTGGGCTTCACACAGGTAAACGGGGTTTCACTGGTCTCACAGTTTGCGTGTTGTTGCGTGCTGTTGTTGATTTCAGTGTTCAAAAGTCTCTGATGGTGTTTAATCATCCAGGTCATGACAGAATGTGAGAGAGAGTTCATTTGTGACTTCTAATTATTTGAAGACAATTCACCTTCAGTTGAGACTCATTACGTGACTCTGCCTGACATTTTCAGAGTTTAAAACTTCTTTCATGCTATTGTTTTTCATGTACCAGGGGGATGTTGGTCTTGCCATGGGAAAACTTTATGGAAATGACTTCAGCCAGACCACCATTTCTCGCTTTGAGGCCTTGAACCTGAGCTTTAAAAACATGTGCAAACTGAAGCCTCTGCTTGAAAAATGGCTCAATGATGCAGGTATGTATTTTCTCTGCTCTGAGCCATTTCTCTCCTTTACCTTCCTCCCTCAAAATAACATTGCATATCATGAAGAATGTTAGAAAGGATATGAAGATTCCTGTCGCATTCCTCTTTAGTTTTGGAGTTTCTATCAGGGTTCTGCAGGTCCCGCTCTCTTTTCTGTATGTGTAGAGTGGGTGTTTTTTGACTTAAGTTATGTTACTAAGTAGTACAGCTGATGCTCTGAGGCACATCTGCAGTGCTGTTTGGCACAGGTGCTTATATCACTCCTCCTTTGTGCTTTTGTGCGCGCTGTTTGTGCAGAGAACCAGACGTCTGACCAGGCCTTGTCCAGTCCCGGCTCTCTTGGCTCGGCTGGGCTGGGCTTGGAGGGCCTGAACCGCCGCCGCAAGAAGAGGACCAGCATTGAGACCAACATCAGAGTGGCCTTAGAAAAGAGCTTTCTGGAGGTTAGCGACATCTCACATCAGAGCTTATTTGATGAGCCATTATTAACGTTTTACTGGGGCAAAATCTTCCATTTGTTTTTAATGACAATGTGATGGAAATATCAAATAAAGGTAAAATTAGTGTTTATTAATAATACAATTAATATTTTTTGTAATTCAGTGCATTCCTTTTTATTAAATATTATTAATATTAATATTTTCTGTCATTTATACACAGATTTATATTTTATTATTATTAATTACCTTATTATTTCAAAATAATTTATTTTTGCCTTGTTTATTAAAAATATTATTATTATTATTCAAATATTTATTTTTATAATACATTTTATTTATTTTATAAAATATATAGAATTATAGAAATATAAATATTTTTTTTATTACATTATTACTACTACTTAATAATGTTTTTGTAATTGTTTACACTGTTTTGAATTTAATTGTATTATTTGTACTGTAGCTATTAGTAGTAATAGTAATGCACTTTATTACATTATTATTAAATAGTGGTGTCAAATGATTAATCGCAATTAATCGCATCCAAAAGAAAAGTTCTTGTTTACATAATACATGTGTGCTATATATTTCAAAAAAATAGGTTGTTTATTTATTAAATATATTTATGAATATACATATAGACATGTAAATACATGTAAATATTTTCTAAATATATACTGTATGTGTGTGTGTGTATGTATGTATACATAAATAGACACAGAACACACATATGCAAACAAAAACTTATGTATGCGATTAATCGTTTGACAGCACTATTATTAAATGATGGTAATTATTATTATTAATAATAATACAGTGTAATATAAAACTCTGTAAATTGAGAACTACAGAAAATGTTTGCGTTTGTATGTTCTAACTTCTTACATTATCAGAAACCGAACACCCACAACATTCAGCCCCTTCTTTAAGAAACCGTACATCCAAAGACCCTTGTTTAAACATTTGATATTTTCTCAACTGAATTATTATCCAGCTGAATTATTTCCTCCTTAAACCTTGGACTGGAGGCTGGTAGGTCTTTGGTGATTTGTTTTTGCCATAAGGGCGTTTCTTGTGCATTTGCCCTTTTCAAGCAGAACCACAAACCTACCTCTGAGGAGGTCACCATGATTGCGGACCAGCTCAACATGGAGAAGGAGGTGATCCGAGTATGGTTCTGTAACCGCAGACAGAAAGAGAAGAGGATCAACCCACCCAGCAGTGGCAGCGCCATCAGCACTCCTATCAAAGCAATCTTCCCTCCCACCACACCTCTGGTACACGACGTGCAAACTGCCTCCGTTCATTCAACCCAACAGATCTGACTACTTAAAATAGTACTAAACCTCTTCCTTCTTTCCCTCGTTTCAGGCACTGAGTACAGCAAGTCTTGTGACCAGTAACACACCGACTACGATGACTGTAAACCCAGTTATGCCTCTCACCAGCACCAGTGTCTCCAGCATCGGTTTTACTGGTAGGCAAGAATGCCTAAAGAAACGCCTACAACTTTGCTATTGTTCACCTCACAAGAGCCTATTCTTTCTCCAGGCACAACTATTGGCTCAGCTACCACTAACACTGCATCAGTCATCTCTACTGCACCTGTGTTCACCACGGCAGTATCTTCTCCTTCGATCAGCCCTTCCCCCACCACAGCGCAGATGTCCTCCTCAGAGCAGGCTTCAGCTCAGGAGACGGTGATAGCAGTAAGTCAGGCACCTTCCTCCTTGGCGACAACTCTGTGCACTGGGCAGGTGATGGTGGCGGCACCCAGCCTCTCAGCTGCTCTGCAAGGAGCCACCCAGCTGCCCACCAGTGCCAGCATCGCTGCCATGGCTGCAGCCGCAGGCCTCAATCCTGGCCTTATGGCGTCCTCACAGTTCACTCCTGGGTAAGTATCATTTTAGTTCTCTGAAAGAGCATCAACTTCGAGCTTGTGATTGGACATCTGTGTGTATATATTGTTAATTCAGTTTTTTCTCTGGTGTTTCCTTTGCAGCGGAGCTTTTCTAAGTTTGGCACCCGGTGGTCTTGGAAGCGCTTTGAGTCCAGCACTGATGAGCAACAGCACCTTGGCCACAATCCAAGGTGTGTGGAGCGGCAAGTACACTTGAATTTATAATATACTCTGCATGTGCTTATTAATCTTGGTATCACCAGCAAGATGAATGTCTTATAACACATGTTTTAGTGGCACTTGTGTCACTCTACTCTTTCAAAAGCTTTCCGCATTCAACATATTTGCATAAAATTCAAAGATTGTAAATGACTTATTTGCATACAATGAAAATATTGTAAACAACATATTTGCAAAAAATGCAAGCCTTTTTATATTTAACTTTATAAGTTCATATAACCATCTAAGGGCATTAGGTTTTGTGGATTTTTAAAAACTCTTTAATAGATAGAAGATGATGATTGATGATGATTTTCTGCTGTGGCTCCAGCACTTTGGAATGCTCTGCCATTATCTGTAAAATCCTCATCAAGCATGGACATTTTTAAAAAGGAATTTTAAAGACTTACTTTTTTTATCAGGCTTTCGGCATTTAATTAGTCAGGACAATTGTGAATTACTTTTCTTTTATTTTATGTTTTGTTCCTATGTTTTATGTTTTTTGATCTTTATTATATACTGCTTGTGTACAGCACTTTGGTCAATTTTTATGGTTTTGAAAGTGCTTTATAAATAAAGGTTGAGTTGATGATGATGATTAATATAATTTTTTTATAGTAATAATAGTGAACTTCATTATTTAATAATAATATCGCTGTCAAATCGATTAATCATGATTAATCGCATCCAAAATATAAGTTTCTGTTTACATTATTTACTTGTGTGTTTATATATATATATATATATATATATATATATATATATA